AGACCGAAATCCACCGGCTAGATGGCATTGTTGCAAGGGAGAACAATTGTAAAGGCTTACCTTTGCAATCTTGAAAGGAAAAAGAGTAGACTATCTCAACACGTCCCCTTCTAAAAACTACGCCTCTTTTCCACCAGGAGAGGTTCTCGAAGGAAGCTGAGGAGAGGAAGGAAGGCGGGGGAAAAGAGTGGCAGAAGGGACACCGGTGAAGGATTTGGGTGCGCCAGGCGGAAAGAGGGACAGCTAGTCAGGTCCGTACGTGTGTTCCGAGGCCGTACTACGGCAACTAGCAGGCCCCTCCGCGCACAGCGGGGCACCGCCGTCTCCGACTCGGAGCTAGGACGGGTACTGCATGTACCTAGGTTACAGTACATCGCAGCACTACAGTAGTGCCCCGCCTACCCTGGGTATCATATACATGCATACCCAGTTCCTGAACCTACCTATACGGCATGAAGTAGGTAGCACATGGCCGCCCAATCACTAATTTTGCCGCACTAATTGCATACAGCCACATGCTCTACATCTACGTAGGCACTTCGTCCTAGTATCACCGCTGTTTCGATTACAACCTCAACAAAGTATCCAGCTGTCAGATTATCCCTTCAGTGACCTGCGAATTTCGGCGAGATGACGGTCAATATCCTAAGGCCGGCCCCACTCTGACGCAGGCCATGCAGTTTGACCAGCCGCCACCCATCTGGTGGCATCTGATTTCAACGACGTCTTCCCTTTTAGCTGATGTACATCATTTTCTACTTCAGAGACCAGTGGATATGAGTGTCGTCCGAGTCCAGAATAGCAAAAGAAGGATAATCATAAATCTGATTAGGGCTGATTATTTATGCTAAAGTGAGTGCAAGCAATCAGGTCCGAAGAGCATAACTCACAAGTTCCGGGCCAGTAGTCCAACAGGCTGATCGGCCGATGGTGAGCGACCATGGAGCCCTTCACCAACAAGTACACTTTCCAAAATGGCCAGCATCCTCTATTACATATCATAATATATAAAACACATCCCTAAAAGGGTAAGTGATGGTCAGGTAGGTAGTTTCATCTGATCCATGCGGCACATCTAGAGAAACCCCAGTGGAAGACCAACTGGCTCTTGAATATAACGCCAAGCATTTACCCGGATTGAATAGACTGAGTCAATGACCATTTCCAGACTGGTTTTGGCGAAAGCCAAAATGCGCCTGGGCAACAAGAATACGACCCTGACTAAGACAAGTAAAGCTCGACAGGAAGGCAATTGATTCAGCATGAATATTGACATAATCATACTCTAAAAACAAGGGGGTGGGGCTTACCTTGACGGTGAACTCCATCAGATACAATTCACTGAAAGATGATTGAGGTCACCCACCTGGATTGAACACTGTGAGTAGAGACATTCTGAAGCGAGAATATTTCCCTCATTCGAACCCAGAAGCAGTCTGAAATTCGGAAATCTACTGACACGCTTCATTTCACAGCTATGGCTTGCAATAATGACATGTGCATACTTCTTTATTGGAGGCCTGTATGACTGAATACCAGCCTGGAAGCGTGCAAGCAGCTTTCCAGGTACTCACAACATTACCAGATATGCAATTGCCATATGGAATGTGCATGAAGACTCTTGGCGATGGACAGGCATCTTGTTGTATTGTGACTAAGTATGCATTGGGAGGAGCCCGGTATTCAGATGGGCTACACAGCAAGTTGAATATGCAGGTGAACAAGAAACCATTGCAGCCTGATTCACTGTGTACAGAGTGGTGAACTTCATCCAAGAAAGGTAATCATGTCCATCACAAGCCTCTGTGAGCAGACAACATTTGAAGAGATCGGTCCACAAGTACCCGGAATAGTATATAAGTCCAACAACTTTGCTAGCAGCCAATAAACTTCCTTTTAAACAGACAACATTATCCGGATCCAAAGGCACATTCGTAAACAAAGAAGCAAAGGGACACCTCAGACCACCGCCATGTCATATCCATCTTATCAATGGTATTCCTCTCACCACGGCTCATCACACGGTGGCGGGAAAGACCCTCGCAAGCAATACCCCTCAAAAGACGGCTTAATCAGTGACCTCGAAACTTGCCAAAGATGCAAAAGGGCCTTTACAGAACCGGGAAAATGGATCGTAGTCGAACGAATCCGTCTGAACTGCAGCCACTGCAACAGCGCAAATAATGGGCTAGTCGAGAACAACGTTTGGGAGCCGTATTGTCAACCCTGTGGAGAATTCAGCCAGAAGGAAGGATTGTGCCGCCGATGCAAAGGCTTCAAAATACGTAAAATGAAGAAGATTTGGGTCATGTGTGGGAGTTGCGATGGAGGACGGAAAGAGTTTTACAATGACATTAGAGACACATGTCCAGGAATGGGTTTGCGCAAGCATTATGAGCAGGAGGCTTGGCCGTAATAGACTGTTTGTCATCTTGGATGATCTGTTATAGGGGCTCGTCGGGAAGACTTGTCTCAACGGAGACTATGGACCACTATTGTGGATACCGTGGCCATCAAGCACTCCATATTACTGAACAATGCTTCTTATAATTCACATGAAGCCATCACGCCGCCGTGGGCCCGTGAGAAGATTTTGTCCCCTCCTCATCTCGAGATAAATCACCCCCTGGGCGTTTTCCGTCACCCACCCATGGCCCTCCTCCTCCCAATCTCTCAGTACCTCAACGAACCCCTCACCTTTGACGGTAGGTGCGCTCAACTGAACACGCAAATCCCGCAACTCTGGCATCTTCTCCCGTATACAGCGCATCAAGGGCGTCCATAGTTCCCACGCGACCGGGACGGTAGACATGGTGTCTGGCAGTCGCGGGTGTTTGGACTCAATACGCTGTAGGAATAGATGGTCTTTGAAATGGTCGAATGCAAAGTACAAGTTGCGAATCTTGTCGATGTGTGAATGCTCGAGCTGCACAAAAAAGCGGTAGGCATCCTCTGAGGCTGTAAAAATAAGCTGTGTGGACTCGAAGAGTGATTCGATTGCCTCCGAATACCTGTTCAATGCCTGGTCAGTAAAATACGTCTGACACTAGCAACAAGAGCAATGGAAGCATAGAATCAAGACTCACATCTTCCTACAAGTCAGAAAGCACCCCATCCATTGGCTACCCACCCTCCTGAGGTCCTCACATGTCCCATCGCCCCTCGGTCTCCAGTCTAACATTGCGACAGCCTGACACTTCCAGTGCACACCCCATCTTAGCCTCAGTCCCCAAGCGTGCCAAAACCACCGTGGCGGCTGATTACGGCTTCTCCATGCAGGCCACGGGTCCGTCCGCATGGGGTCGACATCATCGTCACGGGTTGAGAATGTAGCTTTCGGCTGATGTTGGCAGGGTGTGGTGATGAGCTTTGGACCGTTGGAAGATCCGTGGATATGCATTCTCATCAGCGGATTGGAGGAGCGCCAAAGCTCAGCGTAGATCATCCGTCGAATTTCGCCAGGGAGCCTTGTGTAAAAGGCGGACTGAAGCTGCTCATTGAGTTCTCCTTTTTCATATTTCATTCCGGTTGGCGGTGGGATTGTAGCATTCTCTTGTTCGTTCATCGGCGACCAAGGTTGCGGACGAAGCAACTCATTTAGCTGGTTGCCATCTTCATAAGAATCATCGTTCATACAGGATGCTTTGCGAAAGCGGGCACGCATGCTATGAGCCTGTGAATGAGTAGTCTTGCCAGCTGATTTTCCCATCTTGGTTGTTTTAGTAGAATCAAACCGTTGAATGAAGTTGGGCTTGATGAGAAAGGGATGGCAGAAAGCTGTGGTTGTGAGTTGGCAGGTAGTTGAACGATGTGAGGCATAAGGCAAGGCACGGCCCGCCGGGCTTAGTATTATGCGAAACGAGCGCTAGTGTATTAGGTTTCCTAAGGGTTAGGGCTCTCTACGGGCATTTCCAAAAGTCACAGATCTGCCTTTTATTAAATTGACTAGGTAGCTGAGCTATAACGGTTTACTTAGGAGGTAGTTGAAGTTTTCTTCATTCGGAGAACACGTATGTTCTGGAGCTGTAGTATACCTGCCTTATGCGTATGAAAGCAGAAGACCCTTTCATCCTGCATGTCTTCGGCCTGTCCACCACGGAACTACTCGCCTCCCTAATCTCACCCACCAATTATCATCAATCCGGTGACAAATTTTGTTTAGCTAGATGGTTTAATAAGATGTTGATGGGGAAGAATCATGTCAATAGGGCGATCAATATCTCCAAGTCTCAAGAGTGCCGAAAAGAAGCAGAGACAACCTTGAAAGACATGCCACCTTCTGAGCTCAACTTCAAACTCTATCTTACATTGCTTCTAAAGGTTCCTGACATAATTCTCAAATACTCGACACTATACAGGCTCTGCTTTTTGTACTTTCCGCATTATGTATCGGGGGCTTGATCCACAGCTTCGATCTTGGTTTGTGATAGTCTTACTTTGGCGGCGGAGTGCGTCCTTGGGAATTGGATCGCGGAATATGGTGTTAAGCTGAGGCCTGTGATTCGGAGTCATCTGTACTGACCGTGTCTCAAAGCTTAATGTAAGAGACGATGAGGCAGCATTGAGGCCTGCACTGCATACCTACATACAGCATTGGAGGTTTTCTCGCCTGTATGCAATAGCAGTCTCAGATGCGTCGACAAATTGCAGAGGACTACAGTGCAAATAATCTAGTGGTGATGGTAGACATTATACTGGCCCGCTGAGGAACTAAGTATACTTACTACCCACTGAAATTCATTGCTTTATTGCTGTATTCAAATTGGAAAGTACCAAGATGCCTAGGTCCCTGACTAGGTACGTACCTACGTCGCTGGCCGGGAGCCCCGCGCGGGGGACAGGGATACCCCTGGCTGCCGCGCGGCACACCCGGGCCCGGGCCGCAACGATGCATTCTACTTCCCGCTTCCCACGCATCCAGTTCCATATCCTCAGCAACCTGGCAGAGTAAAAGCAAAAGATATATATCTTTATAATAGGTAATAAGAGCAAAAAAGCTATGGTCCCGGAGGGGATCGAACCCGCGACCTTCGCATTATTACGTAATCATTCTCCATTGAAAATTATTAGTACGACGCTCTGACCAGCTGAGCTACGGGACCAGATATGGTTGAACCATGGCGCGAGTTGCTTGTATATATAGCAAAATCCTTGCAGACGGGTTCTGCCGCTCCAGAATTAGCGCTAGGTTACCCGGTGTGGTGGTTTGGAAGGCACGATGGGGCCACGACTATGCATCATTAGAATCCCTCTCTATATCGAGCTGGCATGGTACAAATCTTCTATGAATCCCGTATATTGTGAAAGTATCGATACGTATATGTTTGCAAGCTAAATCTCAAAATTAGTCAATAGCGGGTCGAGAGCTACTGGTCTTCAATCTAACGGTCTCCCAGCCTGAAGGACGGGGACCTCCTGCCAATTTGACCAATGGCCTTGATCGGGAAAGGATCCAGTCAAGACATGCCTCCAATGGCGAGGCTGCAGTCCGGTTGACCTCCGAGTGCGACGTATCATTGCCAACAACACTAAATTTCGATAATGTTGGGCTCGAAGATTGTGGCTCGCGTTCCCAAGTATCTGCCCAGGCATTGATCTAGGCACCAGAAAATGAAGATTCCACATTTTCCCATTCCTCCCAGACTTTAATTTGTACAGACACTATTTGGCCCTTGCGAGGCTTGGCCATCGCTTCAGCAAACCTGGGAGCCGCTATTGGTGCTACTGCTGTCCCATACAGCCCAACAACGTCAAACCCCAATACCAAAGCGCACGCGAAGCCTAGGATCTCAAGAAGTGCAAAGTTTCTCCCTAAGCAGAGATGTTCTTCCCCGCCAAATGGCACATAGGCCTGCCTGCGCTTCCTTTCCACTGCGGCGGCGTCGTTTGGTTTATTGATGCCCCCAACTACGAATCGCCACGGATCGAATGACTCTGAATTTCCCCATACAGCTTCACTATTGTGCATCCGCTTGGCCGGCCGTGTGACATATGTGCTCTTCGTCAACAAGTATGGTCTCTGATTGTCGTCCTCGTAATGTAGGATAGTATCTTGTAAAATATACCTAGCTGCGGTACCTTGATTGCTAATTCTGTTTGTTTCCCGGTAAAAGCTCAGCAGCAGCTGACAGCGTTGCTCGAGCACTGTGTAGTCCTTCACGGCTTCTCTCGGTGCTCCTTTCATGTCTCCGATGGGTCCGTCGCTGAATTTGACGATATGCAACACCTCGATCCTAATAGCCCGAATCACTTCTGGGCAAGACTACATGTGTCAGAACATCCAGTAGAGTGTAGGGATCAGGTTACTCGTTGCAGAGAAGATTATCGCAAGTAAGTGTCTCTATAGGCGCTCCGACGTCAGCAATGATGCATTAGGTGCTCATGTAGTCGGAGTGACGGGACCGGGGGTGGGGTTGAATTCTTGTTATTACATACCTAGCTACGGATAGGCAAGTTAAAGTTGCAATTGGCTTTGCTTCACTAAGATGTTTCTCGAGCACAGGTCCAATACAAACTCTAATAACAACTAGTCTACAGAAATATGCCCTCGAAATCCAGCCACGCCGGCTCATGTACAGACTCTTCCCATGCACCATAGCCACCCCATCGGACGATACCAATGCGTTGACACTTGGCCCGAGCCTCTTTGTCGTGCAGTAGTATCAAGCCATAGACAAATGCTGTCCCATAATCATACCCGTATGGATGATCGTTCCTATGATCCATGCTGCCGATTCGAAGCACAGATATGTTTTCTTCACCGTACACGGTGACCAGGCCAGTCACTATAGCATCGACGTTTGCCGCGGTTTCACGCCCTTCCTCACGGGGTTTGAACCTCGGTATTACCGTGCTGTTTGCATCAGCCAGGTAATCATCAACACACAGCTGTGCAAAAGTCAATTTTCCCGCGCTGTGCCACGGGTCTTTCATATCTCCTGATGCCCAGAGGGCGCAAATCTCCCTAAGAGGGCACATACTGCCAACAATTGTGACTTCTTTTTTGGTTGCTGTCAGTGTGACCTTACAATTCTTATGGGTGTAGTACTGGCATCCTCCTCCAATCATGTCAAAGCCATCCGGCACCCGGCACTCTGGTGTGATCTGCCATGTCTTTCCCTGTCGAGGCTGGGTAGTATGGATGAAGAGCTGGCCCACCAGCACTGATTTAGCGTTGAGGGCTAAAGCAAATTCTTCGCCTAGCCCCCGGAGAGTGTAGTCGTCTCTTGAAGAGGCGGCTCCCGGAACCGCCGCACCAACACGGATGTTGTATACGGCCATGATGGCATAGATCCTGTCAAATTCATCGGATACCTCGCGTGTATTAACTGATGCGAACTGGATGTTGGGATTTGCTGAAGGGCGGCAATTATATCCGGCTTTGTGGATTCGTCCTTCGATTAAAATCTCATTCGCGGGCAATTCCTCCACGCCTCTCCAGAGGTTATGGCCTCGTGACTGAGTGAGAATCTCATAGAAAAGCCAGAGTCTCTCCCGCAACTCTCCAATAGTAACCGTGTCGTTTGGTACATGAGTCCATTTCTTGATTGGCAGGCGTATGTTGTCAATTGATATACCCTCACGAGCAAGTAATATGGCATCTGTCCGCAAGTGGCCCTCCTGAATAGTCCATAGCGAGGAGAACCAAGGGTCGTCGAGGATAGTCGTCACTGCGTCTCTCGCCAATACCACCGTTTCTGGCCAGTCCCTCCAATCCTCCATTGGCGCTTCAGCTATGAGAATCCCGTATTGGATTATGATGTTCACAGCTTTCTGTAGTCCAGCCTTGGGTGTTCTACAAAGCCATATATATGCCATCTCAGCATTGGCGAAGATACCCGCCTGTCGGCCCACCTCGTCCATCTTAATGGCGTAGTTGTCCTGGTCGATGCAAGCAATATCAATCCATGCAAATCGATGTGATTTGCTTATGCGTTTCACCACCCGGTAGAAGTCCTCGGCTGTAAAGTGAACATCTTGTATCGCTGGGATACTCCAGGGAATCGAATGGACTTGGAGACAAGACTGTTTAACGGTGGGGTTGAGTAATTGGAAGCGACCCCAAGTATAGGAGAGAATACAGTACTTTGGCTCGCGCTCGCCCGCGTACATGTTGTCGTCTTGCCGCTCAATTGAAGTCATGGACGAGGTGTCGAGCAACCGCCTTGGCCAAAGTTTTTCGGGCTTGAGATTCCAAACAAGGTCTGTGGCTTGCACTTGCGAGACATTTTCATCTTGCAAAGGCATGAATTAAGGCTGCTTTTGGTATAGAGACACAGGTGTAGGTAAGTCACTTTGTCCTGGGTGATATTCTCCCTCAGATGGTGAGATTATAAATGCAGAAGGATTTCACTCCAAGGCAAACGTTCAAATTATTTGAAGATAGATCGGCAGGTCTGGTCATAACACAGTACTTCTCTGCTCGGAATCGTCGGCTAGCAGACTCTTGGACTGGCGGAGAGCCCCTCTGTGGTGTGCCTGCTGACCAGGAAGCTAGATTTGTGGCTTGAAGCAGCCGTCTGCTGGCAGACGGTGATTGGCAGAGAAACCGCCATGCTGTTTCAGCTCTCACAAATGAGTATTCGAGATGCTAGACACGTTGAGGATATGTCGACGCCGTTACCCTAGGGTATGTATAGCGGCATACCTTGGTCCTGTACCCGCCACCGCAAGCCGAAATTGGTGGCCATACAACATAAACATATATACAAGTGGCAATAGCTTGGTTTTTTTTACTTTTAAAAAACTCCCTCTTCGGTGGTAACGGAAAAACGAAAAAAAAAAATCCTAGTATATGTTTCATTTTAATGAGATACCAAGTTAAAGAAACAACAAAATTAGATGTTGGGCATTTTGAGATGGTGTTGAGGATCTATTAGTACCCAACTTTAATGTGGAGCTGACTGTACTTTTACCGTCGAGCTGGTAGATAAGCCTCAAACCTTGCGTCGATAGTCTCATGCCATCCACAACGGAGTGTAGGGGCTAGTGTTGCATACTTTGCTTCCCCTTTTTCCCCCTTTTTCTATATACTATCCGACTCTGTTACTGAATACTCTACTCTATAATCGATTTCGAGCCCTCTGTCCCGGTTAGCGACACGTGATATAACAGCTCACTCGCCGGGAATCGGGACCCAGCTGCCAACATGCCTGCCTCACTGGTTAGTGGTCTGATAGTGGTTGTCTTAGACAGACAATGAACGCGAGTACCGCCCAGCTGTACCTCACTGTCATTGCTGAGTCTAGGCGTCCCCGCTTCAGAATGTTTCGGTCTCTTCCACTCATGCACCAGCTAAAGTATACTGGCAGATCCACGTGGCTGAGGATCACCAGGAGAGATTGGGACTCTGGGGCCTGCCTGATCAATTCGTTCAACCATTCGCCGAGCACCAGAATAGTGTCGATTCGGACATGCCATGGTCACCCTGGGGACGGCTAACGGGTGCTTCGTCAGGTAACAATCGAGGTGTACACGATGCATTGGCAGCTCGCATACGGCAAGTCCCCAGCATGGGCCTCCCTCCTTGCCGCCTGTACAGCCCGGATGGACACTCATTCCTCACGGATCAATCTAAACCGATCAAAGATCCTTTTGTCGTGATATCGTACACCTGGGGCCGCTGGATGGTACAGAGCCGAGAGAGAGACACGCCGATCATCGGAGCCACCTGGTCAGCGCCTGCGAATTCCCTTTTCACAAGACAAGAACTCGATTCTGCTGTCCACAAGATAGCAGGCAATATGAATGCTTGGGTAGACGTCTTTTGTATCCCACAAAATAACGACGATCCGCAAAAGGCGATCGAGATTGGAAAGCAAGGTTCTATATTCAGAATGGCGACCCACGCTGCAGTTTGGCTCGGTACAGGCGGACAAGACATTCTTGTGGAAGTCTGTTCCTGGGTTCCCGAAACGGTCGAGATGGTACCCATATCCGTTTTCTTGCTGCCAAATCTGCATGCTTTAATTCACCAGGGACGTCCAAAAGAGAGAAAAGAAGAAACTTGGAGAAGAATAAGACTTGTGTCCGAATTCACCAAACGGGTACCTTGGGCTAGCTCCCTTTGGACACTACAGGAATCGGCCCTTCGCCCGGATGC